GCCTCAGGTTTAATTTGGGAGGATTGGAAGGATAACATGAACACAGAGATCAGGAGAGCAAAACCTGACATTTGAGTTAAAATACAATAGGTTAAGACAGGATCACTGGAGCAATGTCCAGACTCCCTTGTCATTTGTTTTGGAGATAAATACCATAGGAGGGTCAGAGTGCCTCCAGCCAATTTGGGAATTGAGACAGAAAGGCAGGATATCAAGTCCAGGAAGGAATATGTGACACTCTGAAAATAAACTGCTCCATAAATACATCTAATTAAGACAAAAATATTTTTTTTTCCAGAAAAAAAGTTGTCATTGCCTGGGACAAGCTGTTCAGGTAGTTACTAGGAAACAAAAACTTGATAAGTTGATGGATTATTGCTCTAAAATGTCTGTCTTTTTTAAAGAAAGTACAGAAAGCAGAAAGCCAAGGTAGTTTTTTATGTGCTGATGAAAGGATTAAAAGAGCTGCCGTGGGAATCATGGAATTCCAGACTGGTTTGGATTGGAGGAGACCTCAAAACCCATCCAGTGCCACCCCTGCCATGGGCAGGGACACCCTCCACTATCCCAGGCTGCTCCAAGCCCTGTCCAACCTGGCCTGCCCACCCTTCCAGGGATCCAGGGGCAGCCACAGCTGCTCTGGCCCTCTCACCATCCTACGAATAAAAATACTCTCAATGTTAATCAAGTTGAGGTGAGCAATGTAATTAAACAGCACTAAAACTTAATTTCAGAGGGGTTTTTATGGACCTCCATAAATTTAAATATAAATATATAAAATATTTTGTATCCTGATATTCTATATAAATAGATACAAAATATGAAGTCCACAAAGTAGAGGCAACTGAAGTGGTTCATATGGAGTCCATTCACATCCCACTATTAAGCTTCAGCTCTAAACCAATTTTCCAAATTATTATTGGGTGTGCTGGCTTGAAATTTAATTTTTTATTAAATCTCGCATTCATCCTTTTGGAGATAGACAAGTTTCATGGTGAATTTAAAGCATATTGGCTATCAGGCAAATTGAAAAAGGGTTGAGAGTGATGTGTTTAGCACAGGGAAAAAGAAGAAGCAGAAAAGTAGAGAGGAAAAGTTAAAATTTCTCTTGGACACTTTCAGCGCCCTGCAATGTATTTGAGACGTGCTCAGTCTCCCTTTCCCACTCTGATCAAGACACAGGTAATTAGAATATAGCAAATTCAGAAATATTTTTTTAAAATTTGTATTTATGTTCAGTATTTTTGTGCATAAATAATGTCTTTGTTTTAATCCTTTTCTTCTTTGTGGTTGCTTTGTTTATTTTCTGAGGAACAAACCCATTTTGTGGTTTCATACTCAAAAGAAATCAATGAGGTCTCTCCTGGTTTCCATTCCATCCTGGATGCTCCCAGGATACCATTTATTATAGCTGTGGAAAAGTTAAAGTGAATCCATGGGCCTAAATGCCACATTGCTGTGATGGTCATTAAAGAAAAAATGGAAATGGATGAAACAGTGATCAGGGAATAGATTGAAGTTGTCATGGTCAAAGGGTGGTTGTGTGGAGAAGGGAAGATTAAAACTCTGGATAAGGCTGAGGTGAGGTGGGGATTAAAGTGGGTGTTAATTGTGGTTTATCCCTAAGATTTGTGGGATGCAAGTGGATTATCATTTATTGCAAAGAGACCTCCTTACATCCAGGGATGGGATGGATACGGATCCTGGGCACGTGAGTCTTGGAAGGAATCAGAAATCACAGATTTGAGAAGGTGGTGAGTTCAGAAGTTCAGAAAGGAATAATTTCATTGAAAATATTTCAAATATTTCAAAGCAATTCCAGGGAGGGGAACAGAGCTGGGGAAGGGGCTGGAGCCCCAGGAGAGGCTGAGGGAGCTGGGAAAGGGGCTCAGCCTGGAGAAAAGGAGGCTCAGGGGGAACCTTCTGGCTCTGCACAACTCCCTGACAGGAGGGGACAGCCAGGTGGGGTCGGGCTCTGCTGCCAGGGAACAGGGACAGGACAAGGGGAAACGGCCTCAAGCTGTGCCAGGGGAGGCTCAGGTTGGACAGCAGGAGGAATTTCTGCATGGAAAGGGTGCTCAGGCCTTGTGAGGGGCTGCCCAGGGAGGTTTGGAGTGCCCATCCCTGGAGGTGTTGATAAACTGTGTGGATGTGGCACCTGGGGACATGTTAGTGGTGAGCAGGTTGATGGTTGGAATTGATGATCTTGGAGTTCTTTTCCAACCTTAATAACTCTGGTTCCATGGAGTCAGCAATGGACTGGGAGGTAGAGACACACCACCCCCACCCAGGTGACAGTGACACACCAATCCTACCTGGGGGACAGTGCCAAACCAATCCCTTCACCCTCCCTCCCCCACAGTGGTATTAAGCTCATAGAAATTCCCTTCCCTTCCACTCCCATGGGCGTTTTCTAGTCTTTTTTTTTGGGTGGATTGGGCTGGATTCTCCTGCTTTCCTCTTCCCACAAAAATGTCAGCTTTTATAATCCTGTGATGCAAAATTATGGCATAAAAACACCTTCACCTGTGCCCTAAAACACCTTCAAATAATATGTCAGGAAAATAAAGCACCATTTTCTGTCTAACCATTCAAACATTGGAAAATAAAGAATTTATTCCCTTAGAAAGGTTATTAGAGCTGGAAGCACAGGATGAAGAGTAAGATATAGGAAGTTGGATGCTCATCTTTTGCTGCTTTGCTTCTCTGCAATCCAGAGGAATGCTCCTGTTGTTCCCAATCCCTGGAATTAAGGGAAGGGAACAAAATCAGTTCAATTACCATGGGGGGGTGAGGAGGGGGAGAGAAAAGGGGAACATATGCTGTTCTGTCCTTTCCCTCCAGAGCAAATACAAAACTTCTCAATAATTATTATTGATTTGCCAGTCCATTGGATACATCACTGGCAGAGGGAGCTATAAGGTTATTCCCACTGCAGAAATATCCTGGAATTATGCTGAGAATGAAATGTAGGGCTTTTTTTCCACTCCCACCCCTTTAGAAGACAAAGAAAACAACATCATCTATAATGCAGCATAAAAAGGGCATTTTCCTCTCTGACCTCATCAAAAGAACTCCAGCTTTAAATGCTTCCAGCTTTGGCAGCTTTTTCCCCCTGTCTTTCCCTGCCTTTTGGCAGCTTTTTAATCCCTAAGATTAGCATTTGCTTTGGTAAAATGCACACTAAAAAGCTTTTCATAGCAATGGGTTTAGAGCTTAATAAATTAAGGAGCAACAAGGTATTTTATTCCAACCACTGACACAGAACTGTGGGAGCAGAGGGATCTGCTCTGTGCATGTGTTTGAGTAAAAAAGAGGAGATCACTGTTACATTGAATGATCCAAAACTTAATTCCATATATTCATTATCTCTAAATTTTTCTAGGAAGTTTGAAGCAATATTGATTCCAAAGGTAGAGCTCAGGGGAAGATTGGCCACTCCTTGATGGGAAAATTTGGGTTCAGCAGTTGGGATTGTATCCTGGGGTTCCAACTTTCATATAATCATGGAATATCCTGAGTTGTAAGGGACACACAAGGATCATTGATCCCAGCTCCTGGCCCTGCACAAACACCCCAACAATCCCACCCTGTCCCTGAGAGCGTTTTCTCAGTGTTCCTGCAGCTCTGACCATCTCAGGGCCCTGCCCATTCCCTGCCTTTAGAATGGGAAAATGTGGTGTGGAGGGTTTGAAAACCACAATGATGAAAGGGGGAAAGTGATAAAATAGTCATGGAATCACAGAATTATTTAGGCCTGAGATTGTCAAATCAAACTGTTCCCCCAGCACTGCCAGGAACACCACTAGACCATGTCTCCAAGTGCGATTTGGTCTTCCAAATACCTCCATTATATTCCCTGGAAAGAAGCAGCAGTAGATTCTGTCCAGAATTTTGAAGATCAGTGCACAACTGATCTTCAAACTCAGGAGCCTCTCTGAGCAAATCCTCATCTGGTGTTTATTTTGTTATCTATCAAACCAGTGTAATTTTAAAAAATTGAAAATATCTGCAAAATACATTTTAAAAAACCCCATCTACATACATGGATGAGTGTCAAAAATTCCTTTTAAAATTATTTTGAAGAGTTTGAAGCGTGAATTCAACCATTGCTTGCCATAAGGAAGATCTGAGGAGGAGGATTTGAGATGAGCTCAAGCTTCTCACTTCTCCTTGTTGAAATTGTTTGGATTGCTGGTTTAAGGACATCAGCAGAGAGTGATGGAATAGTTTAGGTTCCAATGGCCTTAAAGCTCATCCAGTGTCACCCCATCCCATAGGCAGGGAGACTTTCCACTATCCCAGGCTGCTCCAAGCCCCAATGTCCAACCTGGCCTTGGACACTTCCAGGGATCCAGGGGCAGCCACAGCTTCTCTGGGCACCCTGTACCAGGGCCTGCCCACCCTCACAGTGATTGGGTAGCCTTGGGTTGCAGTTCACTTCCTGAAAAGCATCTTGTGTTTTAGTACCAAAATGTGTTGACAGGAAAATTTTTGGATCTTTGTGAAGAGTGGAAATTCCTGTGAATGTAGCCCCAAAGTGATTCCTGTTGAAGGCATAGAATTTTACCCATGAATGAAGTTTCCTGCATGGTTTTCTGACAGATTACTGAGTTTTCTTAGTAGACTTGAATATATTCAAGATCTGTTATAAAAGAGATATATTACAGATCTATATAAAATATATATAGAAAAGATCTATTTTCTCTTTTACTTCCAATTTATCAGGCTGTGGTGGTTCTTGTTTCTCCTCATTATTCTCCACTGTCCCACTTCTCAGATCCAAGAATCATTAGATCTTTACATTGCCCCCTCTTGTCTACTGGACTTCTCAGTGGGTTTTGCATTTTCAAAGGTTAAACATTTTCCTTTTTAATATGATTTTCCCTAATAAGAGATCCTTTGGCAGCCTAATAGATGGAGGAAATACTAACCTGAGGAATAAGTTCCAATAATCTGCTGTTCAGGAATGTGACACATGCTTCTGTTCCACTCTGCAGACCCCCCCCAGTGAGTGAAAGTGCCCCGAAGGGAACCGTGGTTGCCGTGGTCACCGCAGCCGCCTTGAACCAGACAGTTGTGTACTCCATTGTGTCAGGGAATGAAGAGGGTAAGTGCAATAATAATAATAATAATAATAATAATAAATATTAATATTTCAGTCTTGTGGTTATGGGGAACCTGGAGAGATATGCAAGAAAGTGTGGAAAAGTAAAGCTGCTGAGGTGAATCACAGAGTCATTAAGGTTGGAAAACAACTCTCAGATCGTTGAGGTGAAATCCCTTCCCATCTGGACAAGTAGGAGAGAATTTCAGGGTTGGAAGGCCAAGAAACCTGGAGAGGGACTTTTTATAACGGACAGGATAAGGGGGAATGGCTTCAAGGTGGAACAGAGACATTTAGATTGGAAATTGGGAAGGAATTGTTCCCTGGAAGGGTGGGCAGGCCCTGGCACAGGGTGCCCAGAGAAGCTGTGGCTGCCCCTGGATCCCTGGAAGTGTCCAAGGCCAGGCTGGACAGGACTTGGAGACCCTGGGATGGTGGAAGGTGTCTCTGCCCATGGCAGGTGGTGGCACTGGATGGGCTTTAAAGTCCCTTCCCACCCAAACCATTCTATGTTTCTCTGACTACCATTATCAAGCCTTTGGAGATAAGCTAAAGATCAGATTAATTAGCATGAAAATAATTCTCACTGATGTGAAAATTGCCACATAATGTGAGTCCATGGCACATCAAAATAAAAACATAAATAGCTTTGATGGAGTTGTACTTGCTTAAAAATCTGGTTTAAGAGATTATAGACTCAGCCATGCTGTAACAAATATTGGATTAGAGCCTGGTATCCAAATAAAACGTCCTGCTGGGATACTCTCTGTTATCCACCTGGACATCTTGACAAAATAACACAAAATTACTGAGTGGGATGCAAAGAATTCCCCATCCTCCTTGTTGTGAGAGTGGGCTCTTTGTTTTGTCCCATCCTTCCATTTGCAGTCAAATCCTGTGCAGGGAGTTGCACTCCCTGATCCTTTGGGTCCTTTCCAGCTCAGGATATTCCATATTCATGGAACATGATTCTGTGATGCTAGGTTGGTTATCCCAGTAGCAGAGCAGATCCAGCCATTCTGCTCCTTAAAAATATCTTCAAAGATGAGCTACATGGGGTTTTCCAAGCCTGAGGGAGGGAGAGAAGGAGGCAGGGAGGGAATTACTTGTTTGACAGTGTCAGAGAATTGTGTCATCCCCAAAATAAAACCCTTGGACATTGAAAATACCTGTTTACGTATCTCATAAAATTTCTGTGTTTTTGCTGGCTTCCAGATGTGTTTGCCATTAACAACAGAACAGGAGTGATCTCTGTGAAAAAGCCTCTGGACTATGAAAGTGTTCAAAGTTATGAGCTCCGAGTGCAGGCAGACTCCCTGCAGGTGGTGAGATCCAACCTGCGAGTCCCCTCCAAAAGTAAGTGTCAAAAATCCTTCCTTTTTCATCTTTTTTTACACAGATATTGCTGGTATTTGCTGAGAATGCTGAAACTGCTCTCCAGTGACATTGCTGGCCTCTGGGGGGGGTGATGGTGACAATGGGAGCACATGGTGCTTTTTTGGATCTCTCAGCCTGACTTGCCCAGAGCAGCTGTGGCTGCCCCTGGATCCCTGCAATTGTCCACGGCCAGGTTGGAAGGGGCTTGGAGCAACCTGGGATAGTGGAAGGTGTCCCTGCCCATAGCAGAGGGTGGCACTGGATGGCCTTTGAGCTCTCTTGCAACCCAAACCACTCTGGGACTCTGGGATTCTATGTTAGTTGAAGGTGCTCAAATATTTGGGAACATGCCAGAAATCTTGGGAATGGCCTGAGATGCTTTACAGGGCCGTGGCAGTTCCAATACCTTCACCAGGGTTTCTTTCCAACGTTACCCACAGAACCACAGGACATGCTGGGATTTTGAGCCTGTATTATCATGGATATTTTTTCTTCCTTGAGTAAGAATGGAATGTGTGGGGTGTGACAAGTCAGGGTTAATCAGTGGTCAGGAGCTTGGCTTTGTTAAGAGCAGAGTGAGACCCTGTGCTGGTTTAGCCACCATCAAGGATGTGCCAGGGACAGAAAGGCAGAGCTGCCTGCTTCTCCCTGTGCCTGTGAGAAATCCAGATAAGGTTATATCCATTAAAATACGTCCAAGCAATACCAGGGAGCAGATCAGGTTTCCATGCAGCACACAGCCTTCTCTAAACCTTGGCTGAAGACATGAGGCAGTCAGCAGGTCCTTCCTTTCATTCCCTTTTCTGACTCACACTCTGCACTAGAGCAGCTCTCCCAGCTGAGCAGCAGTTCCAAAAAAGTGCTGGCTGAATTACTTTATTCAGGAATGCTTGATAGTGACTGGAGTTGGACTTCAGGCCAGCCTAAAGGAACACAAGCAGTGTGCCTTTAGTTCTTCAGTAGTGTACAACATATATAGTATTTAGAATGTGCACTGTGCTGGGTGATGACTAAATCATTTGATAAATGTATATATTTAAAATACTTTAGAAGTGTCTGGCCAGCTGAATCACTTATGACTTTGTAATGGAGATCCCTTGACCTCTGGGGTTGATTCCTGCATTTATACAATGAATTCTTTTCCATTTTCTTGGCGATTTGTTTATTTTTGAGGAATTTTAATCAGGTTAAACACTACTTCTGAATTTCAGGGCACTGAATTGATGAGCTGCAGTAAGAGGAGATGGGGTACAATCAACACATCACTGTAGGCTTTGCTGAAGTTGAACTGATGAACCACTTTGGAACCGGGTGACTAGGAATGCACAGCCCCACGATTATGCAACATCGAATTAATACAAAGCTGTGACACCCAGTGGCAGTGACCTGCTGCTAGCTCTGGTCTTAGATAGCCCTGAATCGGTGGAATGTGTTCTGGAATTTGTCGGTACCTACTCTGGAGCTACAGGGATTTATGGGCCCCTCACATTGAGTGTGTCCAGGGAAGGGAATGGAGCTGGGGAAGGGGCTGGAGCCCCAGGAGAGGCTGAGGAAGCTGGGAAAGGGGCTCAGCCTGGAGAAAAGGAGGCTCAGGGGGAACCTTCTGGCTCTGCACAACTCCCTGACAGGAGGGGACAGCCAGGGGGGGTCGGGCTCTGCTGCCAGGGAACAGGGACAGGACAAGGGGAAACGGCCTCAAGCTGTGCCAGGGGAGGCTCAGGTTGGAGAGCAGGAGGAATTTCTGCATGGAAAGGGTGCTCAGGCCTTGTGAGGGGCTGCCCAGGGAGGTTTGGAGTGCCCATCCCTGGAGGTGTCCAAGGAAGGGCTGGAGGTGGCACTCAGTGCTCTGGGCTGGGGACAAGGTGGGCATGGGGTACAGCTTGGACTCCATGGGCTGGGAGGGCTTTTCCAGCCTCAGTGACCCTGGAATCCTGTGAATAACACAGGCCTGACAAACTGCTCAGCCACAACACAGGGCTGAATGTCACAAAGCTCAGAAGCTGAGTACCAAATTGTTTTCAGTGATGGTATTATAGGAAATAATTATAGAGAAGTAAGAGCTGGAGTTTTCATCTGTGCAGGGGAAAAGTGAAAGTGCATTAAGTGTAACTGAGCTTGTCATTCAGTGATGGTGCCAGGTGATAGCGTTGCAATAATTGAATAAATATATGAGGAGAGAAAGTAAATTGAGATGTCCTTTGGAGTATGAGAACATCAAATTGGTGACTTAAACTGGGGGTTTCATAGATGATGCTAAATCATGCAAAGTCACATTCTTGCTTTCAACAGAGTCAAACTCATTAAAGGAGTTACTTTAACTGAAACTTTGTGATATTAAATTGCTGTGTGGTTTTACTTCATTTGAATGGGTTTGGTGATAAGGATGAGTTAAAAAGCTTGGAGTTCTCCTTGAGGATTCTGATGATGCTGAGCCCTGAAGGACCTTCAATATTAATGGAGTTTGGACAATGCTCTCAGGTACAGGGTGGGATTCTTGGGGCTGTCCTGTGAAGGTCCAGGAGTTGGACTTGATGCTCCTTGAGGTAAGGAGATAAGGGGTAGGAGGAAGCAGAAGGATTTGTGTGGGAGCAGAGGGAATAGCAAGGAGAAGTGCTGCCTAAACACAGGGACAAAGAGCATTGGGGCAGAATGGACAAGGAGGGACAAAGAGAGGCTTTTACCTCCAAATTCAACCTGGTCCCACTTGTAGAACCAAAGTATTGGTGGGCATGTCCAGAGAAGCTGTGGCTACCCCTGGATCTCTGGAAGTGTCCAAGGCCAGGTTGGACACTGGGGCTTGGAGCAGCCTGGGATAGTGGAAGTTGTCCCTGCCCATGGCAGGGGTGGAACTGGGTGGGCTTTAATGTCCCTTCCCATCAAACCATCCTGGGATTCTGTGATTTCACATTCCTAGAGATGCAAAGATAATGACAGAACCCCGTGGTGGCTTTTCCTGTGTTTAAGAGGAATTGACTGGGTGACAAGGTGGAGATTGGTAACAGGTCATACTCCATGTTCTTGGAGGTCTTTTCCAACCTGGATGATTCTATGACATGACCTTGTTAGACATGGTTTTTATCTTGCTGTCAGAAGATTTGAAAACAAAATCACCCTTCCATTGATTATTTTCTTGTTTTATCCAGTCAGGCAGAACTATTTATCACCTTTGGCACTCCCAGAGCTGGTACAAATGCACTGTCCTGGCTCTGCTGTATTCTCAGATGTGAGCAGGGCTTTGCTCTGGGGGTTGGGGGTAAAGCAGCAGTCCTGCCTTCTTCAGTTTTTGGTTTTCTAAATGCAAAAAATCCTTTGGGAATAAAGTGGAAATGGGAGTTTTACAACTAAAATTCTGCAGCTGTTCCATAGTAATTGGGAATGATGATTCTAGCACGTTAAATATGAGCATGAATTCTGTGTCCCTGTTGTATTGATGTAGCAGTAAAGCAGCCTTATGTTTTTAGTTGCAAAAGTTGGTGCTGGTGGTGCTTTGCAAGTTGGCTGCTCTGGCAGTTCCCAAATCCAGGAGTTGTGACAGATGGACTCAATGCAAGCAGACCCTGATCCCACTGCCTCACAGCTCTGGGAGAGCTTGGGGCAAACTTCCAATTTCTTTGGGCAGCAAAGCAGTGCATTTTAGAGAGGCTGAATAAAACCTGAGCTCCCACTCAGGTCATTAATTGTTAGAAAAAGAGGTTTTATATAAATTTAAATCAGACCTTGGGTTCGTGCTGCTCCAAACACGTTGCTGTTTGCTTCTTTTTGTACTCTTGAGCAATGACAGCACATGATAATCTTCTTCTGGCTTTATGGGCTCATTTAGATCTAAATGCCACTGAAAAATATTCAGTGCTGATTCCTACTTGGTTCTGCCAAATCCAGGAATGTGAGATGGAGCCCAGCTGCAGTTCAGCACAGCTCACCTGCCAAAGCACCAAGCCTGCTCCACGCACTTGTAAGGCAGTAGTAAAGCAAAGTGCTCCTAAACTCTGGCAAATTACAATTCTCCCTTCCAGTTGGATTCAGATGAACTTTGGAAAGGTTCTTTGAAATCTGCTGTTGCCTCCTGCAGAATTGCTTTTGGAGATGCAGGGATTTATGTTAGAGTTATCCATGCCTGAAGAGCAGCTGTATCCGTGGCTGGGTTGGAATGTTGCAGAAGGCAAGTACAGTGCTGCTGGTGAAAGCACTGAGTAAAACTCACCTGGGAACACTCAAAGCATCGTTGATGCTGTCCCAGTGTCCAAAAATCATTGCTTTAGTTCAGCTTTGTTTCTGCAGCCTGGCAAGGAACTAGAGGCTCACACAGATCTGGCACATTTTTAGATGGGGAGACTGGAAAACAGCTTTCAACAAGGATGTTTGGGAAAAACTTCTGGGAATGAAATGCTAGTACACACCAGCGAGCCAGGAGTTTTTGTTGGGCTTGTTTTCTGTTTTACTTATTCATGGTCTACTCATTTTAGGTGTTTCAGAGGTTCTTCATCTTTGCTTTAGAGCAGCTTTCAGGGTGTCTTCACTCCCCTTAAGCAAACTACAGAAGCTGAAAGATCCAAAAGTCTTGGCAGTGATTATTTAGCTGGTTCCTATAAACTGAGGATGACTTAGAAGCAGCTGCAGTGTAACGTTGACTGCCGCTGTGCCCGAGACAGAGACACAGCACTCTATGATCCGTGTGACAAAAAGCCTCTTTATTGTTCCCTCTTCACCTTAAATACCTTTCTTAATGTTCCCGGGTAAGCACCTGTGATTGGGTCCAAGTTCAGGCTGCTCAGCTCTCTGACTAATAGCTTCTGCAGCTTGGGCTGGGACTCCTTGGGTCAAATCCCTGTCTGTTTCCAATTCTGTCCTGTCTCTGTTCCCTGGAGGCCTGTCTACCAGACCAGGCTGCTTCTCCCATATGTGGCCAAATTAACTGCCCAGTATAAGGCAGCTTACACTGTGACACTGCAGTTCTGTATTTTCTGTGCACTGCAGCTCATCTCCAGGGTGCTGAAGAAGAGAAGGAAAAAGAAACCTTTCAGGAGACTGAGGTACCACTGAAATAAATTTTCTTGACTCTTTTTTGGCCACCTTGGCAGCCTGTGCTGCCTTCTCCAGGGAAAGACACCTTTTGTTCTTTCGCCTGGCCAGCTCTTTAAGCAAGGCAGTTGTAAGTAATAAGATTTTATGTTTGGATTCTGGGTGGTCTCACAAGAATTACCACCAAGGAGTAAATCCTACTTCCAATTCCTGGAATCCATGAATTAAAACGGTATCTGGAGCTGGATTCCAGACTTAGGACACCAAAGATAGGAGGTTTTACATACTTAGGGGTATAAGTTTCCCCTCTGGAAGGTGAGTGTGAATACTAACAACCTGTGATGATCACTGTTCTCACAAAGAGGATTCGAGCCACACCCAGTGTTTAGAAAAGCAGTTAAAAATTTGGAATATGAAGGAAAAAGGAGTCTAATGACAGAGTCCAAACCAGACTCTCTAAGAGTGTGCTTCCTTGGTGGCCTTTTCCGTCAGAGTGGGGGCTGGGGTGCAGGATTTAGGAGCACCAGAGCCCCTGTGCAGGGAATATTCCTGAATCAAGGAGAGGGAGTGGGAAAAATAACCATGGGAAAGGGTCTGGCATGTCCTTCCCACATGACACAGCTGTTGCTGAGGGATTTTGGTAAGAATTCCAGTGTGAGGCAAATTCAATAGCTGGTGGAGAGCCCTTTCCTGCAGCCAGATGTGGAATTGGATCCCAAGGTGAGATAGGGAGGAGCTCGCAGATGCCACATTCCACTCCATCTGCTAGAATGAAGGACTGTGTCCAGAAAATCAGGCAGGAAGCTGAAACACAGGTAGATATTCAATGGTCCTAATGTTGGCCTGTGGATATGTAAGGTATTTTATTTGCTTTGTGCTTAATGTAATAACTTCCATTTCTCCATTCTCAAAGCATTCACCCGTTGCTAAACAAATCACCATTTTGGCAGCTCAGAGAACTGCCAGCAAATTAAACAAATGGTAAGTTGAGCAAATTGCAAGTCAAACTTTGCACAAGGCTGATCCACCTCACCCAAACTGGCCTTACACGACAAAAGTGAGCATTATGCAAATGATGTTTAATTTGAATTAGAGAAAACTAGTGCAACTGAGCCAACACCTGATCCCACCTACATGGATAAAATCAAGATCTTCCCTCTAGGACCAAACTGGTGGCTGCCAGTGATAAGGCAGGTTAGAGGCTCAGGAGGGCAAGGTCACATCCACATATAATCCTGCTTTTAATGCCACCTTCCTCCCGAAAAGGTGGAGCTGCAGTGGGAAAGTCTGCCTGGGAATCTCATTCTCCTACTATAGTTTGGTATTGCAGCCAGAGACATTAAGGACTGGTTTAAGAAAAGGGATTTGACAATTAATGTTAATTTCCTTTCTTTTCTTTCCGATCTTTTTTCTGCCTTTTCTCCACACTGGAGAACCTCCACAGGATGGCTCAGGCTGAAGGGAGCTCAGTGGGCACCTGGAGCCACCTCCCTGCTCCAGCAGGGCCATCCCAGAGCACAGGGCACAGCATTGTGTGCACACAGCTCTGGAACAGCCCCAGGGAGGAGAGCCCAGAGGCTCTGTGGGCAATGTGTTCAGGGCTGGGCAGTGGCCAGGGAAGAAGTTGTGCCTCCTGTGCAGGGGGAATTGCTGGGCTCAGTCCCTGCCCGTGGCTCTGGTGCCATTGCTGGGCCCCCGGAGCAGAGCCTGGGCCCTGCTCGGAGCCCTCCCTGCACACAGGGACACCCAGGGCTGAGGGCCCCTCTCAGCTGGGGCTCCTCTCCAGCCTGAACAGCCCCAGCTCCCTCAGCCTTTCCTGGGCACCGAGATGCTCCAGGCCCTTCCTCAGCGCCGCAGCCTCCGCTGGCCCCGCTCCAGGAGCTCCCTGGCCCTGCTGTGCTGGGGATCCAGAGCTGGACACAGCACTCCAGAGGTGCCTGCAGGGCTGGCCACAGGGGCAGGATCCCTCCCTGACCTGCTGCCAATGCTCTTCCTGCTGCCCCCAGGATCCCATTGGCCTCCTTGGCCCCAGGACACTCTGCTGGCTCAGGGAAGGCATTTTCAATATTTGGGGTCTTTTTTCAGATTTCAGTTCCATTTATGAAGCCATCATTTGTTTCTCTTCAGCTGGACCATCAGATAGGCAGAATATGACTTTGGCCATGTCAGAAATAGTCTGTGGTTTAATGTTTTCCCCCCCCTAAATATACAGCTCCTATGCCTTTTCTAAAGAGCCTGCATTGTACCAGTAACTCAGACCAGTGGCACCTGTGCAACACTGAAATTATCCTGGCACTGAAAGGAGCTGAGAAGACCAGCTCAGAAAGGAGGCGATTTATCACTTGCAAATGTGGTTTTAATGAACTGGATATCATCATTTCCAGCAATCTTTCTGGATGATACGATTCTGAAAGAGCGAAGCAGATGTTGGTGGAGATTACTGCACAGTAGAATCTGTTTGGCACCGGGTCCATGATTTTTGCTGGATGTTTTTCCATGGAGATGTTTATTGCTCAATGGGCTGGAGCAGAAACTCTTTAATAAAACCAAATTAACACTGGGGTTTTGTGTTGAACCTCTAGTGTTTTGTGTTGAACTTCTCAGGTGAGACAATGCTGGTGGAGTTCCCCTGGGCCAGGCCAGCTTTGGGAGGAGGACAGGCTTAGGGATGCTTTCAATTAACACAGCAAATTAATTAAGTGGTGAGGCTGCTGAGCCAGGACTCTGTGTGACCATTTATGAGTTTACAGACACCAGGACTGAATCAGCCGTTAAATATTTGCACGCAGTAGGAATAATTAAAATAGATAAAGCAAGGTGTAGAGCTGCTGTTAATGAGCTCGTTGTGACATCTGTGGCTATTTAACGGGACCAAAAGCTGCAGAATTAAGGTGTGATATGGATCCCTATTACTTGTCTAGGAAAGGGAACGGAGCTGGAGCCCCAGGAGAGGCTGAGGGAGCTGGGAAAGGGGTTCAGCCTGGAGAAAAGGAGGCTCAGGGGGAACCTTCTGGCTCTGCACAACTCCCTGACAGGAGGGGACAGCCAGGGGGGGTCGGGCTCTGCTGCCAGGGAACAGGGACAGGACAAGGGGAAACGGCCTCAGGCTGTGCCAGGGGAGGCTCAGGTTGGAGAGCAGGAGGAATTTCTGCATGGAAAGGGTGCTCAGGCCTTGGCAGGGGCTGCGCAGGGAGGTTTGGAGTGCCCATCCCTGGAGGTGTCCAAGGAAGGGCTGGAGGTGGCACTCAGTGCTCTGGGCTGGGGACGAGGTGGGCATGGGGCACAGCTTGGACTTGGTGATCCTGGATGGCTTTTCCAGCCTCAGGGATCCTGGGATTATCCATTTTTAGCATTCTATGACGTCTAAGGGATTTATTTTTAGTTTATTATCCCTACACTCATTTTACATGACCTCCCTGAGCTGTAAATGCATGAATGTCAAGAGATGTTACAAATTAATACAGAATATTCTATTTTCCTTACCTCTTTTAGGTAATACAGCCAAGGTCTTTATTGAGGTGAAGGATGAAAATGACCACGCACCTGTGTTTACCAAAAAAATGTACATTGGAGGGGTGTCTGAAGATGCCAGAATGTTTTCTTCTGTGCTTAAAGTGAAGGTAAGGCTGAAGTTTTTGTAATAACCTTTACTTACTGAGGGAAAATTTGTACTCACTGATTTGATTTTTTACAGGAGATTTTAAAATTTGCATTTTCTAAAGCTGCTTGATGGTTGATGTTTACATAAGGATGACTTCGAGTTAAAACCCAGGTTTTGTTTGTACTCAATTTTAGGTGCTTGTGTCTCATGCCAGTTTGTAGCTCTCATTTTAGATCTATTAATATTTCAACATTTGGTCTATGTTCAATGCCAGTTTTCACCTGAAGTTTTTTTTTCCATTTTGGCAGCACCTTGTTTAGATTTTACAGGGGAAATCCAGAAATTTCAGGTCTGTACTGGGAGGAAAGTGGGCATAAAATTAACCATCCATAAGGTTTTGGTTTTTTATTTTGTTTTGTTATTTTTTTTTAAGAGAGAGAATATTAATGGAAATACAATATACAGACTACAGTTAGCATCAAATATTAATAACCAAGAGTAAAAGCTCTTTGTTTTCAATAAAACAAATAAATGATGTGTTTAGAGCACCAGGAATGATAAAATGGTCAGAGCTTAATAAAGGTGTCCCTAGCTGGTTTTTTTTGTTGGCTTCATGAGAGTCCTTCCCAAAATAAGCCCAGAAATGGCAGAGAAGTGGGGAATTGGGAAGCTTCTACTTCATCAAAATTCGGTGTCCCAAGAATGGTGCTGAATCCAAGAATCATGTCAAATCCATGAACTTTAGAACTGATGAAGAATCACAGCATTGTTAAGGCTGAAAAAGACTTTTAGGGTCATCAAGTCCAACCATCCACCAGCACCACCATGGTCACCACCAATAATGTCTCCAAGCACCACTTCCACACATTTTGGGACACTACCAGGGATGATGATGCCACCACTGACCTGGTCAATGCTTAACCACCCTTTCTATGAAGCAATTCTTCCAATTATTCAATCCAAACCTTGTCTGGAATGACTCAAGGTTGTTTCCTCTCCTCCTGTCCCTTGATTCCCCACCTGGCTCCATTCTCCTTCCAGGGAATTGTAGAGAGCAGATAACAGGACAAAGGTACTGGAGTAGATAAAACATTCTGGAAGGCAAAGTAATTTAGGGAAATGCACGTTTTGTTCCATCTGAAAGCAAATGAAACATGAGGCACAAATGTCAAATCACATTTGGAATCATCCCATGAAACGTGAACAAGGCTGTGAAATCCTTCCTGATTTTCCAAGAGGATTTCTTAGGCACAGGTATATTTGTGTGTCAGTCAGGGGGATAAGAAATGGGTGGAGAAAAGCTAAGGGAAACTTGGGAGTGATGAGGGGAATCTGCTTTTGCTCTTTAGAATCATTTGACTCGAAACATGTCATCAGTCCCAAAGGAGGACCTAAAGAAATGTCAGTTTTGTGTCTTTAAGCTTTTTCTGTTTCAATCCTCCCTGTTTTCGTTGGCACAAAATGGAACAAGGCCTAAGCCAGGAGTTGGTATTAGTGGATGGCATTAAACATAATTGTGTGTTTAGTGAAAGTAAAATTAGAAATAATTAAGAAGTGCTCTCGTTGCAGAGGATCAGGCTGGAATTTATTGTTGTAGCACCAAGCATTTGCAGCAGTCACTGCTCGTTACCTTTTTTCTTGGCCTTTAGAAAGCAAAAGTAATTGCTCTGTTAGTTAAACACAATCCACATTCCAGCCTGGTTTAAGAATAATTAATCAAGTGAATGCCTGTTCTTGAGGAGTAGAATGAAATGAGCAGCTTTCCAAGTTGCAATTTAGGAGAACATTAATAAAGTACACGCCAAGCTTGCACTGTAGAAATTATTCAGGTTTGGATTCCAGGGGGAAATTCAGGTTCTTAGGAGGAGTTTTTAATGCATTTGTTTTCATCTTCTGCATTCATTAACAGTTGCTCACTTTCTTTCACATCATCTGAGTGATTTTGAGAAGAAAGTAATTTTCTTAGTATCTTCTCATTATTGCTGTCACTAACAACAGCCTTGGTGAGGCTCAAACATGAGATATTGGAATCAGAGAATCCCAGGATGGTTTGGGTGGGAGGGGACATTAAAACTCACCCAGTGCCACCCCCTGCCATGGGCAGGGACACCTTCCACTGTCCCAGGCTGCTCCAAGCCCCAAAGTCCAGCCTGGCCTTGGACACTTCCAGGGATCCAGGGGCAGCCACAGCTTCTCTGGGCACCCTGTGCCAGGTCCTGCCCACCCTCCCAGGGAACGATTCCTTCCCAATATCCCATCAATCCCTGCCCTCTGGCAGTGGGAAGCCATTCCCTGTGTCCCTTCATCCCTCTCCAGCTCTCTGGGAGCCCCTTTAGGCACTGGAAGACACTCTGAAGTCTTCCCAGGGCTTCTCTTGTCCAGGCTGGCCAATCTCAATTCTCCCAGCATTTCAAATTATTCAATGCAGAACTGCAACTTTCAAAAATGACTCAAAAATCCCACAATTAGTTCATTTTTTAACAGGGCATAATAACTTATAGGGATTATTAAGGACTGTAGTCCTTAATTATTAATAGAGTAGTTGATGTAAATCAGTTTTGGATCAGTTGATCACAAATACACCACTGAACATTCAGTTGCTTCAGTCACGCTCTACTCTGCCTTGAACAAAATTTCACAAATAATAGAAACAATCAAACGGCAAAAATAAATTAATTCTTTTTTAAAAATAGGGAGAGAAGAAAACTAATCCTGAGTCCATAATCTTCCACACAAATTGAATTTAGAAACAAATAAACCAGTAAAATATTGGACAAAAATTTCTCTCAAAGAGTTGATATGTACCAAGGCCAATCCTATGGAGTTTCTTCCAACTCTCTACGATCATTGGGTTTGCTGCCAGCAGCATCCTCTTAAATACATTAATTTGAGTATAAAAGCCTTTTAGAGGAGGATAATGAGCTGCCCTGCTCTAGATTCATAGTAAGATTCCTCTAAGTAGATAAAAAGGAAGCTTAAGCTCAGCAGAATGCCTCAAATCATTCTCCAAAAGTAATTTTTAATCAGAATTAATTTGGGGAGTGATAAACCACATGAATTATTCTTTGTGAATCTGATTGGATTAAGAGCAGTGGCCTCTGAAAGCTGAGCGGTACTGATGCTCCAAGAAAAAAACAAAAGGGTTATATTTTAATAAAATGACAATTTTTAGCCAAGGATTTGCTCCTTGCTGCTTGAAGTCCCCTTCTCTGCAGTTCCTTATTTTTCCCCCAGAATTTTCTATCTACTTGAGAGGCCATTTCCCTAATTAAAGACCTTTTTGTGCTTTTTCATTAGGAATATACTAATTAAAACCAGATGTAACATGCACAGCCTCTAATTTATGAATTCTGCGCCTTGAGCTTTGCTTTGTGCTTCCTTTTGTTAGAATTATTTTGCTTTTTACTGGTGTTTTCATGGAACTCCTGTTGTTCCCCCTCAGAATTCCAACCAGGCTTTCTTAGCCCCAAACACAATCTTTTCAATCTGCTCCAGGAAACAAACCCACAAACAACAGAATCTGTAGGGAAATTAGCAGCAGGAATTGGCTTTTCCCTATAATGGGATGTTATTAGCTCTTGCTTTTAAAATATTAACAGTATTAACCTCTGCTTTTCTTCCTTTATTTATTAAAATATTGAATTACTACAGATTTAAATTAGGAAATATCAGAGGTCCTAATTCTAGTGAAGCAAGAGAATTGCCTGAATTCCTACTCAGTTTATAAAGATGTTTTTGTCCTGCAAATGTTTGCAGGGAAGGAATCTTGCCTAAGTAATGCCAATGAATCCAAGGCTCTGGAATCGGCTGTTTTTGATGGAAATGCTTTGATTCTTACAATATTTTCATTCCAGCCCTTTCCTGTGCTCTTTGCCCCTTTCTGTTCAGCTTTTTAATGGAAATTTATCCTTTATTCCTTTTGAATATTTTTTATTGAATATTGAATATCCTTGAAATATCTCAACAGAAGAGAGTAAAATAAACCAAAGCCATTTTAGGCTGCAGGTTGTGGTGCTGAGAACACACTGGGGAGCAGGAATTCCTCTTCACCTCAAAAGCGTCTTAGGGATCCCATAATAAGCTAAAACAATGGATAAAAGAAACAGTTAAAATTTCTGGCTATGGATAGGGAGAGAACACCAGAATTTCTTTTTTTCCCCTGATCTGTTATCCTTGTTAAATCTCCTTTTTTTTCTATCTATGCCAATAACCTGTAGATTTCTTTTGATATTTCCTTTTCCTTGGGATGACAAGGGAATCTTCTCCTTTGGCTCTTGAACGACTCGTGCACAAAACTGAACTGCTTTGCCCATCACAACCTTTTCTTCCTTAAAATGTGATTTATGGATCCCAGGGTAGGGGGGGAAAGATGCTTGGTAGGAGTAAAAATCTCTGAAAGCTCATTGCAGTGACAACAGTGCAGCCTCCAGCTGCTGGAACATCTGGCCCCCAGAAAAGCTGTGTATCCTGCTAACACAAATATTACAGGAATGCCAAAAACTTTTCCTTCAAAAATCATATTCGTGCTTTTTATGTTGGCTTCCTGAACTTTTTGTTCTAAGATTTCTTACTTTCCTATTATTTCCCTCTGGCAGCAAACAGAGAATTCCCTACCCTTTGGGATTTTTTCTCATGTGATTGAAGATTATTTCAACTACTTTGTTGTTTAGGGGCATTTTGAAGGTTGTTGATCCGGCATTTGCTTTCCTGTGTAAAGGTTCCTACAGGGGCTGGGAGTGGGGAGTGGATCATTCCCATCCCATGGAGGAAATCCATGTGTGTGGCCTTTACTTCCTCACACACACACACAAAGTTACTCTATCAAGCACTAACTGCTATTGGCCAAAGAATAATTACAATAAAATCAATTTTTCCAATTATTTGTTTCAAAACCCAACTTTGAGAACCCCTCTTATTCACCACCTTTTCTCATGAGACAGCCTGTCAAAAGGAATCCTGGTTTCCTTTGTCACCTGGCCACCATTGGAGGGCAAAGTGAGCAATTCCCATTCACCTTAT